TTTTTAAAAAAATGGATTGAAAACTATCAAAACTCAACAGTACACATGAGATTAGAAATCGATATTATCTCCGTTTCAAACTTTTTATTTAATTGTATAAGTAATCTAGAAGATATATTCCAGGTGTTTTATATCGATTTTTGTTCTCATGAAAAGACGTCAATTATTGATAGGTCAATTACGTAGCTAACTAGCGCCGAAATATTTAATATGGGCCCGGGGGAAATTCATTGTTTGATATTGGTAGTCTATACTGTAGGCAAAATCGGATTATGATTTATCATTAACTAAAAATGTTGCATTTGGAGACACGCAACAGTATTCGTTTGACGAAGTTTCAAAATCCCTAATACGCATGTGCAGTGATTGTTATTTTCAAGTATTAGAACAACCGATGCGCATGCGCAATGGAAAGTGTAATTGTTTCATCGAATGAATATTCAGATGTGTGTTATAAGAACAGTGTTGTACAATACTAATCAGCAATACTAAAACTTACAAGAAGTTCTCACCCACATTGCATCTTTAATGTGAGGCCCTAAGCTCTTTTAAATAAAAAAGTGCAGGATCATACCGGTGTTATTAATTCCAATTGCTGTTCGTACTCATTTATATGTTTGTATATTGTATGGGACGAACTCGCTTCCCACATTATCTCGACCAGTTATTATAAAGTATAAAGAGTCCTTAAACATCTTCCTATCTCACCTTCCACTATCCGAGAAAGGTGTGTTCTCACGGGTGTATACAACATTGGCGTACACCTCGTCGTAAGTGTCGATTCCGAAATGAGTGTAGCTAATGTATGCATACAAAAGCCGCTTATAGATTATTAAATATGCCTTAGTCACATACATTAGATTTAAATTTCGGTTGGGCAAGGTTTTAATCAATCTGATTAAAATAAGATATTCGTGGGATTTCACGATCACGATCTTAAAGAAAATAAAGTGACACTAGTAATTTGGAAAAACAACGGAAATTACTCCCACAAATATTTTATTTTGATTGGGTTTTAATATATTTTTGAAATTCGTAAATACGCACCATTATTTTATCACCACCCATCCATCGTGATTATAGCGATAGAAAACCGTAACACCGCCAATCTCATACGCCATGGACATTTGATACTGCTTGCGTGCTGTCTGTAGTCATTTATTTATTTGGTGGAACATATGGGCTTCTTTAACAGCACAAAGCAAAGGATAGAAATATCATGTTTCTTTAAATTAGAAAGTGTAATTATTGGCGTTTTATTTCTGGCGGCTAGACTGGTTTAGAACACTGATGACTTAAACCCTTGTTTACCAGAGAATTTAAAATGCGCTCAGGAATACTCTGGAGTGAATTTATTAAGGCCAGCGCTGCGTACACACCTCATCGATCACCTCCAAAGAGACACGGCGCTGCGTATACACCTCGCCGAGCACCTCCAAAGAGACACGGAGCAGATCGTTGCTGGAGGGGTATTGATACAACAGTACAGATTCTGCGGAGGCTGGGTTCGAAAAGATCTCAAGTAAGCCAATCGCCTTATCTTACAATTAAATCAATCCAATAATTATAATTACAATAAATTTGATTTAGTTAATGAGGTAATACGTTTTGTCCCTCGTACGGTCAATAGCTGAGGATAATTCTGTTCCACGTACGAGCTAATGAGACTCACGTCCAATCAATGTAGGCAGATGCGTTGTGCATTTCAATGTCCATTTCATTACCATTATATCATTATACAATAAGGGACCGTCTCAAATGTGTGTTTTTCCTGGCAAGAAATGACTAGGGGCCGTCTCAAATGTGTGTGTTTCTGGTAAGACATGATACGAATGTCTCATATGTGCAATGTACACCCGCGACGGACGGACGACCTCTGCTAGGTGGAAAAGACACGTGGTATGACACTAATTACAACGCATTACCATTTTCAGTCACGATTCATTCTATGACGTCAGCAGCCCATATTCATGAGATTTTGTCATTATGTTGCAACACGGAACTATTAAGTTTCAGAAACATGCGGAATTCCCATTAAATACTAACTACCGAGATGATGATTGTACAACTATAATTTGATTAGTAATTAATTAGTACGTATTTACGTAGTTAATTAATTAATTTTGTCATTATCAGTGCTTATTAGTCAGCATGTGCGCCAATTACTGTATATTTTTTAACTCAATAATTACTTTCCGAACTAATTCATGCCTTATAAAATTTAACTCTTATACCCGACATTTCTTCGATAACTTCGAATAATTGCCGATGCCCTCCCTATATAGTGCTTGATTCTATGTGAACTGTCAACGTTTCGTGAATCTAGCAAAATCTGTTAAAGGTCAGACTTCAAATGCACCGTGAGCATGCGCAGTTACATCTGACGTAATCCTATGTTTTGTTTTCATTTCTAGCATTATTAACTATTTACGCAGTGAACACGGACCACTACCCGCTGCCAAGACTCGCTCACTGGTCTTTCACTTTTAGCCTCAGAATAGTCACCGCGTCTCGTATACCAACATGTATGCAGACATTGTGTCTACATCGTGCGCTTTCTTGATGATTTTTTTATTTTCAAGATAAAAAAAAAATGTTGGATACATCGCTTTATCGGTGTTATCGACAGGCCGACACATCGCATCAACCCCCAGTTCACCCGTACATAGACTCTCCTCCGATGTCCGCGGTTCGATGCACATACTTAAGTTCACAGCATCTCTGCCGCGAGAGCGTCGTCAAAAATTTGCGCTTCAACTGCGCGTGCCGTTTTTGAGAATTTACCTGTAATGACAATGAACTGCCGTTATACATGATCGTAAATTTTCTTCGGTTGTGTTTGAATCATATTTAAGATTCCGAGATCAGATT